GACTTATTATCCGCAACAATGTCTGCCTCACAGCGATTCCATTGAATTCTTCCACCGATTGTCTACTGAATCGTTGTTTTTTATTTTCTACTTTATGGAGGTTTGGTTTGCCTTCACTTGCCGTTTGTCCCATAGTTTTAAGTCAATATGAATTGTATTGAATATAATAGGGAACTAAAGCACAATATTTGGCGGCTAAGGCGCTGAAGAAGCAGTCGTGGCGTTTCCACACGAAATACATGATGTGGTTCCAGAGGCACGAAGAGCCCAAAACAATCACTGATGAATACGAACAGGTATTTTAGTGTTAAAATTAGATTCAAATTGAAAGTGATTTGTAATGATATGATTGTGTGATTTCAGGGAACATACATATACTTTGATTACGAAAAGTGGGGCCAAAGGAAAAAGGAAGGCTTTACCTTTGAGTACCGATACTTAGAAGACCGTGAATTGAATTAATACACTGCAAAATACCCGCCTTTTCATCAATTTGTGAATAAAAAGCAAACAATTTATTATTTCAATCAAATGTTTTATTCATTTATTTATATGAAATTTCCGATATAACAAGTGTTTTCTTGAATTTTGTATCGAGTGTCCCGAAGTTCTTCTTTGGCGATGGAGATGTTGTGGCCAATCTTGCGCGCGCTTCCATGTATTTGATCTCATCCGGTGATGTCTTCACACGAGTATAGACTTCAACGCAAATGACCAGAAATCCAACGACTGCCACGTTTTGGAGAACTTCTGACACGATATCCCACGGAATATCCATTGATATTATCGATGCTTTTGTTGGCAATTCAATAGTGTATTGAAGTGTGAATACAATATCAATGCCATTACAAGATGGCTGTTATGCACAGCACTACAGCTTCTGACACAACCACTACCTGTGCTGCCATCCCATACCATACCAGCGCCCGGCCCTCAACACAGCTCATGTCTGCACATCAATCCCATGCACTTCCACTTCAATTGTCTTACCATTCAATGGATCCAATCAATAGACTTCTTCCTCTTATAAAACATTTAATTTGTTTAAAACATTATTTTCGTTGAATTGCTTTCACTCTATAAATATAGCTAATAAGACACGTGTGTTAATTGCTTTACATTACTATTATTGACTTACATATAGAATGACCATGATCATTGATCAAAATAATTGTAATGCTTTCTTTAATTGTGTATTTGCATGTTTGGATGCCACCAATTGTATGCACATTATAGTTAATGCAATGATATTGGTGTTTTAAGAAACATATGGTAACTAGATAGGTAGCTTTTTATTAATTTGTATAGTTTAAAAGTAGACACAACTTTCTTTAGTAATAATATTCACAAAATATTTATGTTTATAAAATCAGAATTTATTAATTACACAAAGAATTGTCAGCAAAACTAGTTATAAATTAAGTTAATTATAAGTTTTATATTAGAAAAATAAGTATAAGAAAAGTTAATGTTTGGTTATTCTACTGGAAAATTGTTTATTACTTGAGTAAAAACTAAATTATATGTCAAAGAATTGCAGATAACAATGAATTTTGAAATTTGTATCAAATTTACTATAAAATTGTATATCAAATAATTATTAAAATATTATTCCAGCGAGATAATTAAACAATATTTAATTATTTTGAAAGTTTGAAAATTTCAATTTTTGTGACAAAATATTTGAATTTTTAATTAAAATTGTTGTTTTATTCGAAATAATGACATCATTAGAGATATTATGTGTTTGAAAATCTCTAAAATACTTAAATTAAACAAAATTAAATACAATTTAATTAAATAAATCACATGCAGTGAGCGCTTACAGTGAAGTGACATTTCAGTTGAAATTTTTTGATAAGAATGTTTTAAAGATTTTATTGTATAAAAATTTATTAAACAATAAATAATTAACTAATTAACTAAAAAATAAATTTTACTTCAAAATCAATAAATAGAAAAATAAACAAAAAATAAAATGATATAATAATAAGAATTTCTTATTAAGTCATTATAAATCAGCACTAAATATAAATTGAGAGGCAATGGAAATAGACATCCCTTCCCATCCGTGAGATTAGATTTGCCCACAAAAGAGTCAACCAAAGCATAGGCTTAGAGAGAGGCCATCTTTCCATCAACGCCTGGTATCTCATATTCTCGATCTGTTTGCGTAAAGTGTCCTTGTCCATTCTACCAACAAATACACGATTTACCCGATTGACTGATTCTAAAT